GCAGCTCGGAGCCCGTCCGTTCTAGGGGGGCAGCGATCCTGCGGCTGTAGGGGAAGCTCAGAGATCGGAGCAGGAGGGTGAGCAGTTGAGAGACCCCCCCCCGCCAGCAAGAGATCTCGGCTCGGGTCTCAAGAGATCCCACTGCTGGAAGGGCCGGACTGGCACGGCCCCGCCAGCTTCATTTTTGGCATCCCGGATTCTCCAGCCGTACAGCCAGGCCACCGACCGCAGGGGACAGCTGGGGGCAAGGGGAGACCCCGCTGCGTGATGCTCTCCTAGCAGCCGTGGCGGAGGGAGGAGGACGTCGGCCTGAATGCTCGGGACGCCCAGGTAGGTGACATCCCTAAGCCATCTTGGAGGCAGCTCGGCAATGTCCGTGGTCACAGTGCCAGCTGCTTTCCAGGGACTTTGGGGGGGGCTGGTCCCCAGGGACAGACTAAATGGGGGCAGCGGTGCAGCAGCGGTGGGTGATGCTGCGGGCTGTCTGCCGTGCACGGGCATCGAAGCGCTCCTCTCCCGGTGTGGGCAGAGGGAAAGGCTGCAGCGTGTCCCTCCTGCAGCCTGGGCTAGCAAGCGAGGCCCAGCGGGGCTACTGGGTGCTGGGAAGTGGGACCTGGAAGTGAAAATGAAAGTGAAACTCTCCAGGAAGGGGAAAGAGCGGAAGGGCAGCGTGGGAGCATCACTGCAAAAAAAACCAGCGAGGCAAAGCACGCTGGGCAACAGGCTGGGATGGACTTTGATGTCGATGTGTTTCCCACCTCTGCTGATGATCCTTGAGAAGGATCCCTGCGCTGCAAGATGCTGCTCCCGCAGCTCACCGCGGCCGCCCCTGTAGGCACCCTCGTCCCCTGACTGCAGGCCCGTATCTTGCGTTTGCACTGAAAATCAGGCGCGTCTGGTGCAGGGGGTCAGAGGCTGGGAGAGAGGCGGCGGCGCAGAGTGGAGCTCCGTTATCATCCGACGTGGTGTGCCAGATGTGCCTCCGGTCTCGTGAGCTGCCCCGGCGCGGATTTGCGCCGCAGGCTGATTATGCCGCAATCTGCAACGTCCTTAAAACGCTGCTGGTTGAAAAGTGCGCCTGCCTGTGCACAAAAGGCCTGGCAGCGCTCCAGCTTGAAAGAGCGTTTGTGGATAAATGCAGGATAAATACCTGTGCAGCGAGGCTCTGGTTTCTGGCTGGAAGCAGTGCACGAGTCTGCTGTGGGTCCCGGCATCGCAGCCTGGCTGGGAGGCTTGTCGGGGCGTCCAGCGCGGGTGGAAACATCTTCCCTCAGCTGTAGGGTCACGGCCACGGCAGCACACGATGTGGGGGGGGCACGGCTGTGGGGCCCTTGCAGTCGCAGGTTGCAACCCCTGCCTCCTCCACAGGCTGCTGGGGAGAAGGGACGGGTGGGAAGGGCCAGCGGGTATTTCGGGACCGATGATTGCAGGCCCATCCCGAAGTGACGGAGAACAATCTCAACGCTGTCCCAGCTCCAAACGCTGGGGAACTGCAGCTTCTTGACCTTGTTCAAGTCAGCCAGGTCAAAGAACTTGCCTTTGGAAAATTTGAAAGGAGCTGGGTTGAGCTCTGTTCCAGCAAAACTGGGTGGTGATAATTAACCTGACTTGTCTGCTGCTTAGGAGAAGGCTGGTGCTGGCCGCTTTTTCAAAGGTGAGCAGGGAAGGGAAGCGTGTGGTGAAAAATACGCAAAATAATGCAATATCTGATAAGGAAGTGAGGTTATTGCTGGGCAGCCATAGGATTCCATAAAACTAACGCATAACCTCCCCCGGGAGAAGACGACAACTTAAATATTGCTTGACACAAGCAATATTTCAGCGGTTGTCAGCAGTATATGTCAACAGTTGTCAGGCACGTGACTTGGAGTTGCGTGGTCTTCTGATGAATTAAAAACCCGCAGGACAAACCTAGGCCCCCCCCCCCCCAGGCAGTGAAGTGGCCACAGGGTGACAGTTTCACGTAGTGGCTTGTCACCGGAGAGTCAGCGTCATCCAGATATGCTTCAGTGGGATCCCAGGGATGCTTCCTTTGGCCCTGGAGAGCCAATTTATCATCTCTTCAGGAGAAAAGACATTTGCAGACAATGCAGCTGTTGGGACGGCTTCCATCTTCGGACAAGCTGGCTGCAAGCAAGTTGGATGCATTTTGGGAAGGGCTTGCTGGTCGGGCAGCGACGTGTGGCTGGAGGGATTCGCGTGGATCCACCGAGCAGAAGGCTGGAACAGAGAGCTTTTCAGGGAGTTTTTCTGGATCCCCTAAAGGAAACCTCTGTGCACGGTCCAAAGTGCAAGACGAGCTGTCAGCATTATGCTCTCCCTTGCATTTTTCAGCAGCAGCAGCAGGAGGCATATTTGGGCCGGGGCATCCAGCCGTGCCGGGGAGAGTGCTTCAGCCTGTTTAGCTTGCTGTAGCTAACGGGTTGAGTCAGCCCCGCGTGGATTTGGGGGCTGTTATGTGTCCCCTCTGCCAGCAAGTCTGGGAGGGCAGCACACTGCTGCCAGAAGGGCATGAAAGGCAGGCGAGCAAGGCTGCCAAAAAACTCTACCAGCTGGGTGCGGGGTGAATGACCTGCTGCAACAAAAGGCCTGATCTGTGTTGATCGTCACGGGAGAGGCTGAAGCGACTCCGTTTAGGAGCATCCTAAATGCTCCTGGTTTAGGAGCATCTACCTAGGGAGTTAAAACTTGCTAACCAGCTCTGCAGGCTGGTAGATACCGATATAATGAGATAAAACAAAGGGGAAGCAGCAGTGTAACGTATTTGGACCAGACATAAAGTGTAGGTTTTTTGTAAGAAGGTGATTGATCAGCGGGAGGAAAATACCCTACTGAGGGATGTGGGAGATTTTACATCACTGGCATGATGTAAAGTTGGTGGTGTGGACACCAAGTCCAGGTTGGTGGTGTTTCTCCTGGGTTCAGGGTGGCCCGTGGATGATGGAGATGGTAGCCGGCTGGCTGTGCAGTCCAGGACAGTGGTTCTCCCTTGCCCTGTGTACCTTAAAAGCCACCCCACATCACCCCCCGTTGAATGAAATACGCTGCAGCTTCCTCAGTAATAAATATTGGCAGCCGGGGGCTCTGCGAGGCAAGGTGTCGGGGAAAGCAGATGGGATCACAGAGGTGATACGGGGATCCCAGCCCGTGGTTACCGCTGCAGGATTCCCAAGCAAAACTGATGCGGCACAAGCAATTTATGCCAACGCAAGAGTTTGTGCCGAGCGTCTCTGGTGTATTTCGTTTCATTTTAGGTCACCTACAGTGGCCTTAACCACCTTGCCTGGCTCTGTCTTGGAGGTATGACAGTGAAAACATGAACCAGGTCTTGCACACCATTTATGCTGTGCTAAGGCTGCCCCATGGCCCGTGGGCTTAAGGGTTTCCCAGGAGTGACACAGAGCTGGTTCACACGTCCCTGGTATTTTCACACACCTCTGGTAATCCTGCAAGTGGCTGCGGTACAGGCTTCTGGCTGTTTCCCGCCCTATGGTGTTAATTTTCCGTTGATGGAGAAGAGGTGACAGAGGAAATGACCTAAAAGCTGAATATTCTCGTCTGGATTGATGGGGCACAGAGGGAAGCTGCTGGGCAGGACGGAGCGATGAGGAGGTGAGAGGACATGAGTAGGGAAGGGATGAGCACACCTTTTTGTGTGGAGGGCGAGAAAAGCACGGGGAGGAGCGGGGTCGAGGGTGGCGGGACAGAGTGAGGGGGCATGGGGAGGATCCGGGACGTGGGGACAGAGTGAGGGGCCGTGGTGGGGCAGACAGGGCTGACTTTGGGAGAGGTGCAAGGAGAAGAGCAGCAGTCACGCAGGGACGTGGAGAGGGCAGAAGGTGGATGCTAGAAAAACTACAAGAGCCGGAGGAGACATGAGGAGAGATCCGGGCTGGGTAGAGGCTGGAGTTGTGTTTTAAACTGCTGGCACCCTCCTCCAGGTACAATGCCGTGAAATCTTCGAGTCATTGGAGGCTGCTCCTCTTGCCTCCTTGACAGTAAGCTCTCCCATTTGACCTGGGCTGGTTCCCACATGCCAGGATTGAGTTTATTTTTCCATCCCGCTGTAGCCAACTTTGTCATTTAATAAACATCACCCCCCCCCCCCCCCACCTTCCCCCCCCTAGAGGGCAGAAGGTGGATGCTAGAAAAACTACAAGAGCCGGAGGAGACATGAGGAGAGATCCGGGCTGGGTAGAGGCTGGAGTTGTGTTTTAAACTGCTGGCACCCTCCTCCAGGTACAATGCCGTGAAATCTTCGAGTCATTGGAGGCTGCTCCTCTTGCCTCCTTGACAGTAAGCTCTCCCATTTGACCTGGGCTGGTTCCCACATGCCAGGATTGAGTTTATTTTTCCATCCCGCTGTAGCCAACTTTGTCATTTAATAAACATCGCCCCCCCCCCCAATCTCTGGCCCCTCTGTAAGCCAGAGGAACAGATGGGAGGGCAAAGGACCAGAAACGCCCGGCACTTCCCGAAGGTGGAAGGGAGAAAAGCGGAGACTTTCCGATTAAAAGAAAAAAATTCACGCCTTTCTCAGCTCTGTCATTGTTCCTTTGTGCCATTCAGGCCTGATCCGAACACCTCACCTACGTGAGAGGGAGCCTGTGAAGGCTGAGCATGCCTGGCTTTCACTAACTGCCCGCTCTTGGAGCAAGGCAGAGGGACTTTGCCTGCTTGTTTTTGAGCGTTCGAGTTTGGGTTCGTCACAGAGCAGCGATAGTAAGCTGACAGCATCTGGCAGGGTGCTGGGGGGAATGGCAGTCCATGGACACAGGGGCGTTTGTTAACGAAAACAGCTGCAGCTCATGATGCAAAGCAAACAGCTTCTGCATGGCTTCAATTCCAGCTTTGTCTCATCGTTGACCGGGGACCAGCCGTGCCCTTGCACACTCAGCGGCAAAGGCCGATACCTGGAGAGCAGGCTGCGAAGGAACGTATTAAACAGGGGAATGAAGTCAGAAGAAGGTGTTTTCTCATCCTGTAGTGGTTGTCCACGTGAAGCTCTCCTGAGCCCCTTAATCTGAGCAGGAAGAGTTAAACAGCTGTGGCAGGGCAGCCTGGGCAGGGCTGCTGGTGAACCCTGGCAGCAGACTCGCACGCTTGGTCTTTGCCCCGTTCTCTGAAGCGTGTCACAAATTTCCTCGGCTCCTCTCCTTACCAGCTCCACGTGGAGACCCGGCGTGGAAGAGAGACTGCCGGGACTGCCCTGCAGCCTGGCGCGGGTCATGGTTTTGCTCCCGAATCACCAATGTCAGAATAACGTGAGGCTGGACCGAGCAAGGCGTGACAGGCCCGAGGGGTTTGCACGAACCCCTCTCCCATTTGGTGTAGCTGAAACCTCGAACGGCAGAGAGATGGGGCAGGCACTGGAGGAGGGCTCTTGAACCTCCCCACGTCATTTGGCACGGTCTGAAGTGGGCAATATGGCCTGTCCCTTTGTGAACACCTCTTGCAGTGGCACATACGAGGCTAGTGGCATCCTCGAAGCTTTTTAACAAGAATTGAGACAGTTTGGGTGGGTTTTTTTGTATGATAAGGCCACTGTTTTCTGCTTGCGTGTGTAATTTCTGTTTGACTCAAAAGAAAAAAAAATAGGGAAGAAAACCAGCCCTAAACTGAAAGCACGGAGGGTCCATGCACTTGCAGATACCGCTCAAGGAAAGGGAATAGCCTTTGCTATCATCTTTACAGCTGTATGAATCACCTGCTATTCTAGTGGCTAATTCATGACGCCCTCAGGATGTTTGTGTCACATCTGGAAATTACGGTCATGCTGCACCTACCTAAACAGAAGACACTCATGTATGTGTTTGTGTATATATGTATTTATTTTTGGTTCTTTTTTCCCAGCTGTGACTCTCCCGTGCCTGTAGCTGATAACAGCCATGTCAGCCCAAAAGGACAGATGGGTTTTTTCCTTCTCTTTCCTGCTCTTCTGTGCTTCCTCCATCCCGACGCGGGGAAGTGCGAGGCTGCTGCAGGAGCTGAGCCCCCAGGAGTATTTCAGTAGCTTGCAAGCCGGCAGAGCGTCCCTGGCTTATTTCAGCCATAATGGTATGTATTTAACAGTGTGCATTTACATCAGCCTGGGTTTTCAGCGAAAGCTTGTGTGAGGGTGTGGGTGAAAGTGGAACAATGAAGAGGCCATTCTTGAGATTTTTAAACCCAAAGGGATTTTGAAGAGCTGGTCGAGCTCAGCTGGCAAATCTGTGTTTGCACAGCTCCAAGTGCTCCTGACAGGCAGAGACCTCGTGGGGTGGGATCTTTCCCGGCTGTGTCCCCAGGCACACTCCTTCAAACCTCTTCATTAATTTTCTGGATTATTTTCTGGACGTACCATGGAAGAGAAACCCAGCCTCCGAAGCAGCTGTCCCCTCAAAGGGGCTGGGCTTCTCTTCCGTGGTACCTCCCAGGGAAAGGGGGATCCCTTGCATACGGGGGAACTAAGGGCTGTCAAGAATTACAGGGAGATCCTTGGCCTCGCCTTTCTTGTTCTGCTCCTTCATGACCCCCAGGTACGGTTTCCCAGGGGCATCGGCGTGGGCTGAGACACCAACGCAGCTCCCACGTCGGCACTGAGAGGCTGGGTGTGTTAGAAGGGAAGGTGGGGAGTCTGTGGGCATTTGTGTTGTTGCCCATAGTTAGGGTTTTTTCGGTAAATACCTTACTCTTTGAGTAAGAGCAAGACCATACAGTGTCAAGCACTGTCTCAGTGTGTGGCAGGAGGATGCTCTTGACTCTGAGGACCTGCAGCTCAGCCCAGCAGCACCCGTCTGACAAAACCAGTCCCAGTCCCTCTGCCTTCCCCAGCCAGCTCCCAGCACCTCCGCCGGCAGCACGCCACGGCTCCCTCTTTGCCCTGCTCAGGTCTGGTCGGATGTCCCAGGGGTGTTTGCATGGGGACCTTAGCGTGCTGTTACCGTGCCAGGGCACAGACAGTGCTTGCCCTGAAGGTACTCTCGTCTGCCTCATCCCTAAGGGGAAGGGATGGAAACCAGGGGTTTTTTTGTTTTTCAGTTTCTCCTGGTGCCCAGCCCTTCTTGGAGCAGATTGAGAACTCGGCCGAGGCCCTCCAGGACTATGGCATTTCGGTGGTGAAGGTAAATGGGGACGAGGAGCGGGACAGGCTATTTCTGCAGATTATTCCTGCAGGGCTTCCTGCGGGGTGGACAGAGCTTCTCTCGACCCACCTTGGGGACCGACAGCAGTGGGACCCCGCAAGAAAGCAGGCGTTGGCAGACCGGGGCATCCCATTTTATCCCTTGCCCTGGCCTTACATCTGCTGCTTGTGGGTCGTGTCACGGCTTCTGCCTGCGGGACGCGGGCAGGTTCCTGTGTCCCAGAGGGGCTCGATGTTGTGCCTGTGTCTCCAAACACAGAGAGCGAAGCAGAGGACTGACAGTGCTGAGGGTCAGGCAGGGGCAGCCCTGAGCTGCTCCTGGCCTCCCAGTTCAGTCTCAGTAGATAAACCTGTACACTTTGATTTGCAGTCGTGGGTTGAGGGAGCATTCAGCTACTCACATTTTCCCCGCAGATTGGTCTTTTTCACGGGCAACCCCACGTACCAGGCTCAGCTGGCTGATCTAATCTGGCCCCCCAGCAGCTGCGTGGGGTGCGTGGAGTTACCTGGTCATTGCTGTGCACCCACGGGCATGGCACCAGGAAGAGTACGATCCCCAGCGTGCTGCACAGGAGGGCATCAGCCCTCGTCTCACTCAGAAGGTGGGACTTGCCCGACTCCCTCCACGGCTCCCCCCTGCCAGCTCAAACTGCGAAGAATGATGGATGGGGCCGGTTCACTTCTTTTCAATTCAGTGCAATAAATGTTTCATATAAAGGGGTTTTTAGCTGAAACTTTGTGCAGATTTAGGTGAGGGGATTACAAATTCAGGCAAGTGTAATTAGATTATAAGATGTGCTTCTATATATGTGCGTATGTATTTAATTTCCTCCAGATACAGGCTGAGTTTAATATTCAAGCATCGATCTGTCACTTTGAATACGCTGGGCAAATCATAAGATCTCTTGATCCCGTCTGACCCAGTTCAAGACAGGCCGAGCTGGGGAACTGAAGTACAAACTCCAATCCCCAGCTCTGGACTCCATTTTATTGCATTTTCTCTCCCAGCAGGTTTGGAAAGGCTGTATTTACACCCTTGAATGGAAGAAAGCTGTAGTGCTGTATGTTTGTAGTCATTTGTGGAGCTGAATGTCTAATTCCATGCCTTCAATGTCTAGGTTAATTGTCCCAAAGAGGACGTCTCAAGATACTGTGGAAAAGAAAATGCATTAAGGAAAGCCTACCTGTTCAGGTAAGGGGGATTTTCTGGGCACCGCACTGTGATTGCTTTCCAGTGCAAATGTTTGGAGGAAACGCTGTCAGTGATCGGAGAGATGTCTGCATGGGAAGAGAGGAGCCATGAGGACAGCAGTGACATACGGAGTTTAGTGAAAAGTGCCCCCAGAAGGTCCAACACACGTACAGTAGGTGCTTTGACCTCAGTGTGAAACTCCCCATCCTGCCCCATGTTCCTCTGAGCAGCAGAGGGCTGTGCTGCTACACGAAACCATGAGAGAAATCCTCCATCAGTGCTCTTCTGTCCTTGTGGCCTCCCACTACCAGGTCCCCCAGAGTCACACTCAGTCCACTAGGTTTTGGATCTCCTCCTAGAACGAAACGCCCTTTGGTGCTCTTCCTGCTGGTGTGGTTAGCTCATCTGCCCTGGATGCGAAGGTTTAGCTCTTGGTCTTTCCACGGGTTGTCATCTGGAAGCTTCTCCATGTATCAGCTCAGTTCTCACTGACTGTTGTACATGGCCCACAGAAACGTTTCCTCTGGTGGGGAGGGTCCACAGGGTGATGCTTGGTATATAAAGACCTCCTGTCAGTCTGCGCTAGGCTTCTCATCGACAGTCCCCAGAAGCTGAATGAAATGGCAGTGACAGAGGTGACTTCACTAAAACAGCATTGCCTGGACACCTGGTCCTATGAAATCCCCAAATTCAATCCTGACATCTTCTTTCCAGCCCTACCTGCCAGCAGATAATCTGGAAGTATTCAGCAGAGTGAAAATTAATTTAGTACGCGTAGCTAACCTTTCATAGTTTCTTTGGTGATACTCTTTCTTCCCTCCCCAGAGGTAACATGCTGATCAGAGAGTTCCCCACCGATGCCTTGTTTGACGTGAACTCCATTGTTGCTAACGTTTTGTTGTAAGTACAGACCAGATTCATCTCTGTGAAGTCATTTACTTTCCATTTTCACTTGTTGATATAAAGTTTTGCATAAATACAAACCCCACGTATTCCAGAGGCTGATCTCAGCCAAGCAGAAGGCTGCTTCTCTCTTTGGTATGGTTTGACGCTGTTAAATCTCTGTCCTTGAGGTGACTCACCAACACACAGCTGGGCAGTTGTATTTGGCTGTGAATCTTCAATCTACCAGCAAGAAGCTGGAATTTTACCTTGTTTTTCCCATCACAGTTATGTGGCGGTACATTTACTCTTGAAAGAAAGCAGTTGCTAATGCGCCTTTTTCTGACTCCTCAGTGCCCTGCTCTTTAATGAAGTTAAGTACGTTGAAACACTGGCAGATCTTCAGAACATTGAGAATGCGTTGAAAGGGAGGTCGAACATGGTCTTTGCCTATGTACCAGCCACTGGGACAGCAGGTATTAACACTCAGCTTTTCATCTTTGCTCTCCTCCCAGAGCCTGTTTTACTGAGGTGCGAGGGAGCTGGGTTTCTGACCCAAAATCCTGCAAATGGAGGATCAAGGAAACCCGAAAGGGCCACCTAGACACAAGTTCTCCACCTCTGTCTGTCTCGCTGTGTTTCCAAAGGGATCAGTTGCACCAGAAAAGTTTTGCTGGGAGCACACAGGCTTTCAGAGACGGACTTGAGAGGGAAAGCAAGCCAGCGGTTGCTGTCTTAATAAATAAATAAACCGATTGGCAGATCTCTGGTTATGCAGCAGAATGGGTTCGCTTACACCACCTGTGTGTTCACCGGGGATCAGCAGCCGGGTTCAGCTCCAGTTACTCAGTTGCCTTCATAGCGTGTCTTCAGACAGCTGTGACTTTTTACTGAGAGTTTCTGAAAGCCTGAGCCTTGATGTTTTACAACTGGGGAAGGTGAAGAGAGAGATCTGGAGGGAGCTGAGATGAGCTGGTCTTGCCTTTCTCTTTCCAGAGCACAGAGCTGTGATGGAGGCAGCTTTTGCCTATGGGACTGTCCACCAGTTTGTTCTGACAACTGAGGCAACGCTGTTGAAAGACACTGGGTATGTCCAAACACACACACACCAGGCAGAGCTGCTCCCTTGCACTTTTTGCTCTACTACTGGTTTCTCAGATTCCCGGGTCAAATCTGGGATGGTATTAGGGTGTTATGCCAGAGGTGGACAGTCAGATCTGTTTTGCTTTTCCAAAACCAGCTGCTGCTTGCGTGGTGCTCTTTCTCTCAAGGAAGAGAAGAGCCCGCTGTCTCCTTTCCGTAGCTGACTGATCAAACCTCAGCCATGGGTTTTCAGGGGGGCTGATATAGCTGACGTTACAGTCTTAAAACACTCAGCCTTGTGCTTTGCTGAGCAAGCCTGGCCAGCTGAGAAGGGCAAGAACTGCTGTAGTGGGTTGGAGCAAAGCCCACCCAGCTCCATATCTTATCTCTGCAGTGGCCGTAGGTGCTTACCAAGGGGTATGAGGGAATGGATGTGTGTTGCCTGCAGCCTCCCATCTTCTGGCAGTCAGAGGTTTCAGGACATTCAGAGGTGGGAGCTGAACCTGTATCATGGTGTTAACAGCCACCAGAATTTTTTAAACACATTTTTACTTTTCATCTCCGCAACTTCTGGCAGCAGCGAGTTCTGCAGTTGAGCTGCATGAGACACTGCTCCCTGGAGCGTTGCGTTTGGGACTTCCCACCCGATGGCTTCACTGGAGCTGGCCAGCTCAGGCCATCCCCTTCCCACGCGGGAGGAGCTGCATTAGAAGGGCAGATCCTTCAACGCGACTTGCTGCTGATGTGACCGACTGCAGTCAGGAAACTGAGAGGGAGGAAGGTGGGAATATCACACAGCATGTTGCGTCTCCAGCAAAGCGTTTATACAACCATTTGCCTGCTTCCACAGCTGACACCAGGGCAAGCACCAAAGCGGTCCTTCCCCAAGGTGCCATCCCGTCCTTGCAGGATCATGATCAGGGAGAGCATTTTGTGGCTGCCACTAGATGGCACGGTCGTCATTTGGACAGGAATTAGCTTCATTCTGCTTAAAGCAGAGAGGACACCGGCAGGCCATCCCCTTAGCTGATGAAATGGTGGTAGCTTCGCCAACATGAATAGCTTTCAGCCAACCAGGGTGGCAGGCTTTGAGGTCTTAACGCTACACCCTGCTCTTCCGTAGAGATATTTTAAGACCCTTTACAAAGAACGTGATCCCTATTTTAGAGGTGGGGAATGGGTACGTAAGAGAAGAAATGTGACCTCCCAAAGCTGACCTACAGGCTAACACCAGTGATGGAATCAGAGCAGGAACCACTAGCCAGGGAACCACCCAGGGGACTCCATCTCATTGCTTCCTTTGGTGCAGCCAAAACCAGTGCTGTTCAAAAGGTGGAATATTCCTTATACAGTCTGTAGGATGTCATCAGCGAGGTAAAAGACATGAGCAAAGCTGTACTTCAGCTGTCCTCCTTCGGCCAGGGTCTCCGCTGCAGTGGCATGGCTGGTCCCACTGAGAAAAGCTTAATTTGTGTCCTTCTTGAGCCAAATATTCTGGGATTGAGGTCATTTACACCCGGCGAGCCAGGGTTTTTGTTAGATGTTCAGCACAATTCTGAAAAGTGCCTGGACACAGTTGTACCTATCAGTAGTAGGGCTCTTGAAGAGGTCCCACAAGCCTGCCAAACCCTGAACTTGAGGATCATCTGCCCTGTAAAACATGTCAGCAAACGTGGTCATTCTGTCAGGGCGTTTTAAAACCCGGCGGTGGATGCCTAGCTCAGCATGGTTTTTGTTTTCTCTCTCACAGCGATGATGAGTCTGATGTGTCGTCTGCTCGGCTGTTGTTCTGTCACTGCCAGCAGGCCACGGACCTGGCGGAGCCCTGCAGGAGGACAGCCATGGGGCAGACTCTGACGATGCTCAACATCCACAGGCACCTCAAACTCATGGGGGCTCCTCTGGTGGTATGACTGGGGAAGAGGAGCCACTTGGGCTGTGCAGTGTGAGGGCAGCTGCGGTGGATGGGAGGGTGAGAGAGGTGTGAGCGGAGGGCAAGGCTGAGCACGAGAATCTGCCCCTTCCCCATGAAGTTAATGACAAAGCTCCCAGGTTGGGTCCAAGCAAGGAACAGGCATGGGGCTGGATGGGAGCGATGCTCCATTGCACTGCTCAGCTTGCTTAGACCTTTCCAGGGAGCCCTGGCACCAACGTATGCTCTTCTAGTTGTCCGTAAGCACCATGAGTGGGAACGGGGTGGAGGTGCCCCTTGGACCATGCTGGGACATCTAGAATAGAACAGAACAGAACAGAATAGTTCTGTTGGAAGGGACCTACAACGATCACCTAGCCCAACTGCCTGACCACTTTAGGGCTGGCCAAAAGTTAAAGCGAATTATTAAGGGCCTTGTCCAAATGCCTCTTAAACACTGACAGGCTTGGGGCATCGACCACCTCTCCAGGAAGCCTGTTCCAGTGTTTGACCACCCTCTCGGTAAAGAAATGCTTCATCATGTCCTGTCTAAATGTCCCTTGGTGCAGCTTTGAACCATTCCCACACGTCCTATCCCTGGATACCAGGGAGAAGAGAGCAGCCCCTCCCTCTCCACATCCCCTCCTCAGGAAGCTGTAGAGAGCAACGAGGTCGCCCCTCAGCCTCCTTTTCTCCAAACTAGACAAACCCAAAGTCCTTAGCCGCTCCTCTAGGCTCCCCACAGGAGGCTCAGCACCCTGGGGAGTTTGATATCGGTCATTCATGCCTTGGTGAGCACAAGGGGCAGGAGGCTCCCTCCTATCTCCTCTTCCCACCGGGCGGTGAAGTTCAGCAGGCCTCCAGTTCCCACTGGTGACATCTCTGCCCAGCCGAAAGGACAGGTAGATGAGCGCTGGGAAGTGCCTCCTTCAGCCAGCCTCCTGGGTTAGGCGCGTGGAGGGAAGGCACTTCGTTAAGCAGCTCCGTGCTGTCATGAAGCAGCATGTCCAAAGCAGGAAGGGAGAGGACGCCAGCTCCTGCATGTTGCGGCCGGGGTTTTCAAACTGCTGTGGAGAATGGATGCCAGGTAAATATAAATTAATGGAGATTTGGCATCTAAGTCACAAAGAACATGCATGATAAAGCCCAGGTTTTTAACAGGGAGGGTCATGACAGGTCGGAACAGTTTAACCGGGGTTGTGTGGGTTCTGCTTCAATGGATGTTTTAGAATTGCGTTTGGAGGCTTTTTCTTGAGGATATCCTTATTTCTGTGGCTGGGGATCACATGGTGGCTTGGGCTGTGCAGGAGAAGGGCTGAGGTACCTTCGACAGTGTGGGGATGTGCTGCAGTATAACTGCATCTCTTCTCCAGACAGAGGTTGCTGAGGACCCAGAGAAGGTTTCCACCGTTCACTTACAGCTTGGGCTACCACTTGTGTTCATCCTCAGCCAGAAAGAGACCTACGAGGCTGACAGGAGGACAGCAGAGTTTGTGGCCTGGCAGCTCTTGGGGAAAGCAGGAGTCGCCCTTTTGTCCAGGTATTTGCTCTCAGGTGTTTTGGGGTTCTCCTTGCTTTTTGTGGTGTTTCTGAGCTCGGTTACCCCATCGCCAGGACGATAGTCAGTGGGCTTATTCAGATTTGTATGAGAGGCAGTAAAACTAGGTTATATCCTGCGAGAGGATGTCACATTTAAGGACTTGTCCAGAATCAAATTGGGTTCGTTTCAGACTGGCTGAAAGTGTAGAAATGTTTGAGTCTCTTGCTGACTTAGAAGTGGAAAAACAGTCAGACTAAGAGATTTTGGAAAGGAAACTTAGCACAGATGGAAGGCTTGTATTTTGCCCTCGAATTAAGGGCAGAAGGAGATCCAGTAAAGGAGGTGGACTGCGGGTGCTGGGTGCTGGGACGTGGCAGGGGTCTCCACTCAGTAAGTGGTGCCTCCTCAGTCAACGAGGGCTCTGTGAGTTGGACCAGCATGCTTGTTCCCCAGGAGGACAAGAGACACGCTTGTGGCTGGCCACAGGGCAGCTGTGCTGTGGAGATCTGTTGGCTTCCTCTGCAGCTGACCACTGGTTGCTTATCTCTGCTCCATGGGCTCAGGAGTAGCCTGCACACACCAGACTGGCTTGTATTTGCAAATGCTTCCATGGTTGTCTTGCCAAAGGAGGTGTGCAGCCCCTGTAGGCGTGGTTCCACGGCCTTTGGGGACGTCTGCTGGCAGGCGTGAAAATGGGAGGAGATGGAGGAAGGATTGGTGAGGGCTGTCTTCTTCCAGCTTTCTGCCACCGTGGCACCTCCCTGTACGGAGGCACTTCTTGGCTGTATTTACTCATGAGCTGAAGTCCACCAGCTCCATCAGCTGCACTGAGATGTGGCTACCAGTGTGTGGGCAAAGACCCGAATCACAGAAAGGTAATCCAAGCCCCTTGCGAAATAGGCACGTTATGCAGCACGCGTGGTGTCAGTCCCACCAGAAGGTCACTTGGAGCCTATTTCTCCACCACTGATTCTGGGTTCCTGCAAGTTCTCTGGGGCACTGGATCACGACTCCGTGAGGACATGGTGCTGCTGAGAGAGGTGGGCTTGCCAGCCAGGCGGGCCGAATGGAGGGGGTGACCTTGCACATCACACCACCTAATGTTCACTTTGTGTTTTGGAAGGGACCTCGTAGATTTGAACATTCTGCTCCGGTCAAACGTCGCTCTCAAGACACCAGATGAGGTTAGATGCTGGATTTCTTTATCGTACAACTCTTATTTCCCTATGTGGGCATGGTGCTCTTGAGAGGTGTCGGGGTGTTGCTCGCCTCCGTTGTTATTTGACAGTCTTCCCAGAAGCTCGAGGGGAAGTGTCTTTCCCTAGATGCACGCATGTGTTTGGTACTGCCTGAGTTTGGTACTGCAGAGCAACTGTGCCTGCTTACAGGAGACAAAAGAAAGTGTTTATTTTGGGTTCAAAACGTAGGCTGACATCTCCATTACACCTTCAGGCAACGCAAGGTTGTGAACTACCTAAGGTAGTAGTCCAAGTGCAAATTCCCCAGAGATTTGGACTTCTAAAGGCCCTTGGCCCTTCAGGAAAGGCATTCAAAAGATGGGAGAGGAAATGAGTGTGAAACTAAGAGCAAACACCCAAAGGTCTGTGCTGAACTGATGTAACCGAACGCCTCTGGCAGTGATCTGGGAAAAGGGCAGGGTGTAAGTTAAAGGAGGTTGATCCAGATGAGCTAAACTCTGGAGGGGCCTGACCCAGCTTGTGAGGCGAGATGGAATTCAGCGCCGACAAATGCCAGGGAGCACACGTTGCCCCAGATTACCTGAACTGTCACACTTGTGATTGCAAAGATACAGGATCAGACCTGAAACTGAGCGTCCCCTGAGGGCTTCCCCTGCCCTGGTGAGAGATGTGCATGCTGTGTTTCTCCTCTTAGAGCCAATGGGAGGTGCCAGCAGTTTGTCATTTCTCTCGGTTCATTATAAAATTCATTTTCTCTGAAGTGCCTTTTGCTCAGACAGTGCCAGAACTGGTTTTAAGCCGACAAGGTCTCACTTCTGAACATTTCGTTCTTTCCTTTCCGGGGGTATGCTTGGGCCCATGTACGCTTGGGAGCACTCTTCTTTGTTGAGCTCCATGAGATAAAGGATGTTTTGTGCCATTTTCCCAGGCTGTGATGGGCTGCTCTGACCCAGCCTCACCCCTCTAGAGCGGGGACAGCCAAGTGGACCCTGTACCTCCCTGCTCTCCTTCACTGTTTGGCCACGGGGCTTCTTCTCGCAGTGGTGGATCTATGTTAAGGTGCCGGGAGGTGGAGCGGGTGTTCGCTTTCACCACAGGATCCCACATAGCCACAATTTCTTCCTGGCAAGGAAAAGTCAGTCTGGAGTGAGAAAAACTCGAGCGCAGGTGAAATTGGGTCAAAGAAACGCACCCCAGAAGCTCCCCTGTTTGGCAGCTTTAGGAATCTGTTGACATACCCCAAAAATAAGGAGTTGGGTGATGGTGCCCCCTCAGCCTTGAGTTTGGTTTGCAGACGGAATAGGCAGAGGGTGATGTTTTGCTTCCACTGATTTACTCTGTTTTCTTTAGGGAGTGCCAATCAAATACCTGGTCTTGGAAGACACTGATGAAGTTATAACCCTGGTGGAAGATAAGAACAAGATCGAACAAATCCAGGAGGATGAGGAGGAGGAGGAGGAAGATGAGGAGGAAAAAGAGAATAACAATCAAGGTGTGCAACTAAACACCGAAAAGCTGATTGTCATCAGGTAGAACAAGCAATCGGCATCTGCTAGGGACAGCAAGCGTATGTTAAGGCATTAGAGAACACTTTGATGAGGAGGGAGGAGGAAGATGAGGAGGAAAAAGAGAATAACAATCAAGGTGTGCAACTAAACACCGAAAAGCTGATTGTCATCAGGTAGAACAAGCAATCAGCATCTGCTAGGGACAGCAAGCTTATGTTAAGGCATTAGAGAACACTTTTGCAAATCCAAGGCAAACCATCACAGTCACATCACGGTTGTACAAAGTGGCTCTTTTATTCTCTGCAGATCACTGGAGTTTTGTGGCAGACAGGCGTAATTTTTTAGGGGAAACACCAGGGAAGAAAATCAGCAGCTGTTAGAGGAACAGTTGCAGAGGGAGAGGGGTGCTTCTGCTTGAAGGCATCCAGCTTCAGAGGCATGAGAGTTTAAAGTGCACCCAACGCCGTCTCCTCTTCAAGCTTCAGATGAAGCGCCTCAGAATTATCAGTCCCTTTGGAAAGGTTTGAGACATGTTTTTCTAAGAGCTGTTCCAGACTTGCCTTTCCCCAGGGAGAAAACACTGGCCCTTCCAATGCTTCCTTGAAAACGCATTTGTTTTCCATACAAAATTGGTCTTGTTTTCCAAAAAAAGTGGTGCAGGATCCTAGGGGAGCCAACATGCTTAAAGAATAGCGTTCAAATCAGAGGGCACAACTGGTGTGAGACGGCATAAGTGCATTTCAGTGAGTTTGTACGTGTGTCTCTGCCTGTGCCTCCACTCCCCCATACGAGGCGGTTACTTAGCCCCCTGCTGACAGTCACCACGTCTCTGCTGAGAGGTGCTGGCTTCCAAAAACGTGCTGATGGGGTGGCACAGGGGGCTGCAGTTCCCCCTGCCCTGCGTGCGTACCTGTGTTCATGCACGGCTGTGGGTCCCTTGCAGACATTCAGGATGATCAGGTGGTGGAAGCAGTTTCCAGGGACAAGAAGCGAGAGCTGCCCCTGGAGCAGATCCTTGTCCTGACAGAGGACACCTTCCACTCTGCCCTCTTGGAGACTGCCCGGACGGTGGTGCTGTTTTATGCCAGCTGTGAGTATGAAATGTGGCTTGGCTGTCCCTTCTCGAAGCTTGCGCTGCTCACCGTGCTTTCCGTAATATGGTGATCCTTTAGACAAATTTAAACGATAAATAAGTGCTGCATCCTGCCCCATGGGCCTCCACCCACCATTAGCAATCAGATTAAATCAGTTCTTCTCATTGACTGATACTGTGTGAAGACAGTATCTCTCAGCATAGAAGGTATCGATGTTCATAGGCTTTTAACCTTCATTTTACAGGGACCAAATGTAGGACAAGAGGGGAAATTGTGGTAGCATGGGCTCATGGGATAGCCTAGACAACCTGGTTGCTGTCTGCTGCATGAAGTCCAATTTTCCTTATTTCTTTCAAGTCTTTCAGAGCTTGAAGCACTTAGGATGCAGAGAATCGTAACGTGACATTGTCAGAGAGCGAGGTGGGGCTGGTCTGTCACCTGTATGTCCCTCAGGTCTGTGTCTGTCCTGTGTTTCAGGGGAGGCAGTATCCCTGGCAGTGCTGCGGTCTTACACCGAGGTGGCCGATCACCTGAAAGGTAAGGTGCCAGAGGTCTGAGTGCTTTACAGCTGGCATGCACCTGCCCTGGCAGTAGGAACCAGAAGACTGGGAGGATATTGATGGTACCTCACTCCCTCACCCAGAATATACTCATTTTTTCCCCTCAAACTCTTTAAGGAAGGCATACCCACATCAGGTTGCTTCGGAAGAGTCCTTTGTTTCTTATTTAGGGATCTTTGCGGTCCATTTGTGCCTCTATAAAGTCATGGGACTGGGAATGCAGCCTTCTGCAGTCGCCTTATGTTGTTGGTGTAAATTGGTACACACCAGCTGCCCAAACTGCCTTGCAGCTGAGATGGCGATGTTGGTGGGCACAGTGACAGCGTGACGGGGGATGGCGATGGCGATGATGATGATGGTGATGGTGGGCACAGTGACAGCGTGATGGGTGATGGCGATGGCGATGATGATGATGGCGATGGTGGGCACAGGGACAGCGTGACGGGGGATGGCGATGGCGATGATGATGATGGTGATGGTGGGCACAGTGACAGCGTGACGGGGGATGGCGATGGCGATGATGATGATGGTGATGGTGGGCACAGTGACAGCGTGATGGGTGATGGCGATGGCGATGATGATGATGGTGATGGTGGGCACAGTGACAGCGTGATGGGTGATGGCGATGGCGATGATGATGATGGCGATGTTGGTGGGCACAGTGACAGCGTGATGGGTGATGGCGATGGCGATGATGATGATGGCGATGTTGGTGGGCACAGTGACAGCGTGACGGGTGATGGCGATGGTGATGATGATGATGGCGATGGTGGGCACAGTGACAGCGTGATGGGTGATGGCGATGGCGATGATGATGATGGTGATGGTGGGCACAGTGACAGCGTGACGGGGGATGGCGATGGCGATGATGATGATGGTGATGGTGGGCACAGTGACAGCGTGATGGGTGATGGCGATGGCGATGATGATGATGGCGATGTTGGTGGGCACAGGGACAGCGTGACGGGGGATGGCGATGGCGATGATGATGATGGTGATGGTGGGCACAGTGACAGCGTGATGGGTGATGGCGATGGCGATGATGATGATGGTGATGGTGGGCACAGTGACAGCGTGACGGGGGATGGCGATGGCGATGATGATGATGGTGATGGTGGGCACAGTGACAGCGTGACGGGGGATGGCGATGGCGATGATGATGATGGTGATGGTGGGCACAGTGACAGCGTGATGGGTGATGGCGATGGCGATGATGATGATGGCGATGTTGGTGGGCACAGTGACTGCGTGATGAATGCCCAAGAGCATGGGGAGGGCCAGGGCAGAGCACCAGCGGCAGTGGGTGACACAAGGTCGGCTTTGGAGCGAGGAGGGGCAAACAGCAGGCACTGTAGCCTGCATCACAGAAACAGGGTCCTGTTTGTGCCCCTCAGTGCTACGTCCTGCACAGGCCAAGGAGAAGCACTACATGCTGCAGAGCGCATCAATGTGCTGGGTGACACATCAGATCTCCTGTCCTTGGAAGTACTTGATCTGGAAAGGAGCAGTAATGGGCCCCAGCTTTGGTGGAAAGCGTGACAGACAGGTGTGGGCAGGCCCAGATCCACCGGGGCAGGATGGTGTCAGAGGAAGAATTTACAATCGTCGTGCCTCCCGGGCCTGGAGACTGGCTTAACTACATGGGAAGTCTCACAGGCGGCCACAGGACTCCATAAATAACACGTGACGGTGAAGAATCAGCAACACTTAAAGACAGCACACATCGGGTAGTCTGGTAGTAAAGGCAGGAGGGAGTGATCCTTCAAGAGGGTCTGAGCAGTTCCTGAGCAGTGTAAGCCCCAATTCAGCTTCATTCCGGTCTTCAGCCCCATCCCTCTCTACGGTTAGTGGGGAGAGGTGGGTTCTTCTGCACATCCATCATTCTTACATGGGCTGAATCTCTTCCAGAGATGCCTCTTTCTCCCCACTGGCTGCAGGGGACATTCAGGTGGCTTCATCCCCAACTCCTTGCAGCACAGTGGGGAAGTCGCATGGATCTGGGCGAGAGCTGTTCTGGCAGCCCTGGAGGTGGCTGGTGCCTTCTCTTGGTTTTTCTTCTTCATCAAGGCTCATTTCTCCTAGTGATGGCACTCCCCTGGGACTGGGCACCGTGTCCTGCAGAGTGCAAGCAGGATTCAGGCTGAGCTCTCGGCAGTGGGGACATGTATAGAATCTGCAGAGGACCCAGGCAGCTTTCTGGGAAGCGGATGCAGTGGGAGTTGCTCACAAGAAACCCTCCTGGGAACGTTGCAGACAGCGCTGTGGTTTGGATGAAAGCGGTTCTGCATTCATAGTTTGCATGAAGGGAAAGGCACCAGCAGCTTTGATCTGGACTGAAATCCCCGGAATAAACACGAAAGCTCAGGGAGGGTGGTTGTTGTTAGAGATGTTATGGTTGTTGATGGTTTGGGGTTTCTTTTAGACTCCCCAGCAGTCAGACCAGCTAGAGGAGCAACCTGGGAGAGTCAGTGGATGAAACCCTGCCTCTTCCTCAGCCAGTGGTCAAACCTTAGCTGATTCTGCGTGGCCAGGCTTTCACCATGTGTTTTTTGAATAATTTGATAACAATCTTGGTACATGGAAGCAGTCACAGGCAGATTCTCAACAGAGATTATGAACTGATTGGGGTCAGGGCCCTTCCTCTGTGATCAATGAGGTCCCACCAAAGACTCCCAGGCCAGATGTGACCTGTGGAATGACTCCAGTCTGCTTTCCCTGCTGTGGCCTCGGAGAGGATGGAGAACAGCTGCGTTAGTGGATCTGGAGATCCTTTGTCTCTGCTGCTGAGGGAGCCTCAGTCACAGGCGGGCTACCAGGGGAGCTGGAAGACCTAAAAGGATGGGGGTCCCTGGGCTCTCAGTTATGGCCAGGATGAGGGAAGATACAGCAGTGCAAGGGATAGAAGTCTGGATCAGGAAGAAGATCTTGAGCTATGCAGGACTGAGAATAAAACATGGGGTATGGCTTCGGGGCAATCTCTCAGCTCCCCCAGAAGCGCTGGTATTCCTGTCTGCTCTCTGGGGTGGAGCTTTCTTCCTAAGGGCTGAGAAGCCAAGACCAGCTGTCTGAGGCATGAATCACCCGCTCTAGAGGCACATTTTGAGTTGCAGAACCAGGTCCCACTTTTGATGCCAATTCTTTGTGCAAAATGGCACTGAGAGTAGGCCATACGAGATCAAGCGCAAGGGAGTGGAGGAGGCTGGAGACTGGAATGACCCTGTGAATCATCCAGGAACAGATGTGCAGCAGGTCATCACAAAATTAAGTTTATAGCCCCCCAAGTGTTTTCTCTTTGTTGAGAGATGCAATCTAGCAAGAGATAAAGAGAAGCATCTCTGCCTTGCTGAACTGACCACATTTTCTGCTCTTGCAGCAAGAGCGTGCCATTCTCATTGCCTCCGGGGCTAACTGCTGCCGCTCTTGTTTTCTTTTGCAAGATGGGAATTTATGGAAGCAGCAACCCTGGGACAGGAGAAGAGGATGTGAAGGTGAGACAGTGCTGAGCATTTCTTAGGTGTGTCATTGGCCTTTCTTTCGAAGAAGAGAGGAAACCAACATCTAAGAAGAGCAATATACTGTGATGAAAAACAGGTCTGCTTCCCTCTTCTGTGCTTGTGGAGTCTTCTTGACCAATGACTTCAAAGAGAGGGGTCTGAAGTTGCAGTTCAAAGGCATGAAAATCACCTGATTTAGTAACGTATATTCATTGAACCTAAACCTGAAGTAAGGATTTAGGAGTCCATTGTGTGATGCTGTGCCGGTAGTCGTTTCCCATTCCGTGTTGGATTCCTCCTCTTGAAGTGCAGCATTTCATACCTAACTTACTTCTCTTTCATGTTGTAGCCTTTGGACCAGCTCTTCAAGTGAGCCGTTTCTAATGCCAGTCCTGCCCTCCAAAGAATTAGAATTTTAAGGGATTCTTGATTTTTCTTGTTTCCTATAGCATTGATGATTTGTCTTGTCCTGGTTTTATAAGACTCCTAGGACAGAGGTTCTCACTGTTGCTCATTTTATTAGCACCTAAAATCACAGAACAGTAGGATCTTGTGTTCCTCTTTCACCTTTCTTCCCATTCAGCAGCTCAACAGTGACCACAGGGCTGAACAGTCTGTTGCGGAGTTACTCAACTCCTGAAACGGCTGCTCGTTCAGTAATTAATAACATGGTGCAGATTGGGATGGGAGAGTGGTCATCCTGTACAAGGTGTTCCTTAGGCCAGATGGGGCTCCTTTGGAGCACTTTTGGTACGTAATCCCCCAAGGTAGTATCCAAATACTAAACCTCATATTTGAGGGACCTTAGAGCAGCCTTGCAACTCAATTTTAACAAGACATCAAAGCCCTGTTTCCATGTCATTATTTTTCAGAGTTGGGCAAGAGACAAGATTATGTGGTAACAGATGATGAGAACCAGCTATGCTGGATCAGAGGTGTGAAATAAATCCAGGGGCAGGCTTTTAATTTGAGGTGTCATTTCAGAGCCTGGAGAATGACACAAACCATTTCTGCTCTCATGGAGTGTTTTGACAACTCCTGACTGTCTGAGTGGAATTGCAGACCCTTAGTTCCGTGCCGCCGCTTGCTTTCTCTGTACATGAGTTTGACACAAGGCAGAACAGCAGCAAACTCCTCATGTGAGCTGCAAAGCAGGACGTAAAATGAGGGTTGCAGAAAATGATCCAGTGGGATGCCAAGGACATAGGGGTAGGGGATAGGAACACATGCTGAGGTCACCTCTGCCTTCACCCTTGCCTGTGGAGGTGCCTTGCCCATCCCTGGCAGGCGCGTTTCTAACCTGTGATTAAAACCCTTCCACAGCTTCTCTGCCAAAAAGGTTCAGCTGTGCTTGGTTCTCAGTAGCTTGTTTTAACATTTGGTCAAACCTCCCTACCTGGGAATGGGTTGTTGCTTGCCCTTGCCCAGCTGGCAACAGAGAGTGATCTCACTGTCGCCTCCAGAGCAGACTTTACATATTGTTAGATTTTATTGTTTCTTTCTTCCAGGCAATTTCCAATGAAAAGAAACACAGTTCTTTGGGTTTTTCCTCAGGAGGCATGTCTTCCAAACTTCTCCAAATTCTTTCTCGTCTGCTTAAGCCTTTCCAAAAACATGTTTCCGAGCCTGACTTGCTGGGCTCTGCAGAGGTCTCACCGGGGCAGAAGAGCATCATTTTCCTCCCATGTCTTGCAGACGCTGTTGAGAGTTCATCCCAGAATGAGCTTTGCCCTTTTCTGCGGCACTGATGGTACCTGTGCATCCTGCTTCTCATTACAGAATGCTGCTGTTGTTACACTTTGCCCTTCAAATTGATTTCTGCCCCTCTGGGCTTGGGTTCGTTTGCAGATTGGATGTGCGTGTTTTGTTTCATCAGCCAGGCCTTTAATGAAAATAGTGATCAGAATCAAACCCAGGACAGACAGAGAAGAAAGCTTGGCTGTTTTGATCTGCCGTACGCTTGAGAAATCCTCATCACCTGCCCTGACCCTGGTTTCTGAAGGACACTTTGCGATGGTCTGCCTCCATGTGTGTACTTGTCTCTAGGTTTCATCCCATCTTTCCCATGGAACTCTTGAATCCCGTTCAAACAAATTTAGGGAAGGCGTGAAGATTTCTGAGATACGGCATTCCTGCAGTGGGCATGGACGACGTATGGCCTGAGGACTCTACGCAGCCCTGCTGTCCTTGGTCAAGCCTGCAAGTAGGTAGGAGGCAGGTTAGGTGAGGCTGGCAAGCAAGGGGTGGTGGCTAGTGAAGCCGGTGATGGTTCACCTGTGTCCTGGTTTCAGCAGGGATAGAGTTAATTTCCTTCCTAGTAGCTGGTACAGTGCTTTGTTTTGGATTTAGGGTGAGAACAATGTTGATAACACACCGATGTTTTAGTTGTTGCTTGGTAATGCTTACACTAGTCAAGGACTTTTCAGCTTCCCATGCTCTACTGACTGAGAAGGCTGGAGGTGCACAAGAAGCTGGGAGGGGGCACAGCCAGGACAGCTGACCCCAACTGGCCAAAGGGACATTCCATACCATGTGACGTCATGCTCAGTATATAAAGCTGGGGGAAGAAAAATGACGGGGGGGACGTTTGGAGTGTTGGCGTTTGTCTTCCCAAGTAAC